ATCTATGTTTAACTCTGTCAATACTTTAGTTGTAGTATATTTTTTTTATAAAATGACCATTTCAATATTTATAGATTACACCGTCATTACGCTGCTCTTCACCTAAACGTCGAATTTTACAAAAATAAATTCTTACAACATGATTTGTATCGATTAGATGCAACAGATCTTATTTTCTAATATCTTAAAAAACATGCGAATGCAACAGCTTATTGTACGAAGCAGCGTTTAACTAATCGTTAAATTTCAAATTTTCAACGGTTTTTTGTTATAAAATAAATGTACAGCGAGATATCAAACACAATGAAGAGAACAGATCAACTTATAAGTTTATTTATTAAGCTTACATGAGCTTATAAAAGTTTATCTAACATAACGAATAGAGATTAATAACCATTCTTACAGTTACTTTCATGACACCGAGAGAGACACGACGCGAGGGTGCGTATCCGACAACGGCCACAGTCCATCTGCCTAATACCTCCTTATTACATATACTCTTTCTCTCAACATGTCTTGGACGAGTCGTATCTACGCCGTACAGAAGATGTCGCTTACTACAATCAATATGAATTTATCTTTATTCTAACAGTTTTTGAAGTCTCTATGTGAAATTTTACTTGTTAAAATACTTAATCACTCTTACATATCCAAAGGATATCTCAAAAAAATCAAGCTTACATAGATTTTCATACATATCATGATACGCTTCAACCTCTCAATCTGCTTAGAGTTTAACAAGCGTATGTAAAAGGGAGTGCCATGCTAATTCTTGTAAAGAGGATTCATAGGGAGGATAATACTTGCACTTTGGCACACAACAACAGTTCTGATGGCAATGACTATTTCCATCAACACAGACTTTTTTAGTTGCACGAACTGTATCTACAATAAAGATATTTTATTTATTTTTATTTATTTCTTCTAACCGAAGGGATACGATTATTTCCGAGATATACTGCCACTTTTTAAAAACTATTGCACACGTTTTTTCTTCATGACACGTTACCACTTCATGTAGATCAGACTTTCTAATCATCGTATTTTTAATTATTATTGTGTTACCTGACTTAACATTATTTTGATTCCATCGTTTGACCATAGTTACAATAGAATCGAAGCTTGTGTTTAATGAGTTTTCGTTATTTAATTTATTATCGTTAAATTCACATACGTCATAAGACCTCCTTGTATCTATATTCACACTGTACGTATGAAATTTAGGACCTCCTTAAACAAAGGTCTCTATTTATTATGCTTTACCATACATCTTCAATTCATCTGTTAACTATACTTATAATGTACTGGTAGATGGTTGATATTCACTAGCACTTTTATTATTACTTGTCAATATTACTGAGTCTGTAATATAATACAAAACTTTTCCATCGAGTTTTTTCACGTATGAGTATAGTTTTAAACGTGCTTGAGCTGTCATATATGCAGATACAGCAACGTTCGTACACGGAGAAGAAAGCGCTAAGTCTTCTTTATAACCTTCCATGTAGACAATTTTCTATATACTTTAAAGTATCAAATAATACCTTTAGTTATATTTTATATTCATTGACTATATAAGTTTGAGGTAAATTTTCGCTTTGATCTGATGTGTCCCAAAACAAATTTCAACATAATTTTACTAGAAAACGCAGTTCCAGATTTTTGTTAATGTTGCTGACATTTAACTTAAGTTAGTAGTTCAGTTAGGTATATCGTGTGGCACACTGCACTATAGATTATGTATAGGTTATGCAGTCTTTACTGTACAGCTGTCATTGTCCCTCTCACGCAACTACACGATAGTTTTCAACTTTAGAAAGCTGAAATAGGAGAACTGTACGACTAGGCTTCTTGAGATTTCGTATTGAGTTTATTTACAATATCAATTACAACACATTGTTTTTTTGAAAGGATTGACTGTTTTGTTTAGGAGTTATGAATGATTTCGTTTTGAATCCTACCCCGAACCCAGCGCTTTCCTATCTCTCACGTATTAAAAGATCAACAGTAAGACTTTGGTATCTCCGAAACTACACGGTTAGGCATCTCCAAATTTAGACTCCTAATGAACTATAGCAAACTTTAGCTACCCGCAAAATCTTAGAAAAATGTATCGTCTAGTCGTTTTACTCAACTACTACCTTAACTCCTTCTTCGTGCTCCTAATTATTTATGTATTATTTTTTATCTTCTTCTGTCTGAACCGTACTGGGCCACCCACTCGCCTCTTGTTTAATTATTAAAAAAGTGTCTATGTACTCTGTAAACCACAACTTTGAGAAATATGATCGTAGTTAGCAACTTTATATTGCCAAATGACATGAATTTTGAATAATTTACACCCTAGTTCTAGTGCCTTTTTTTTTCGACAGATACCCATGCACCTGATAAAACCTTATCTGACACTAATTCGTGAATACATTTTTCCTGATAGAATGTTACCATACGTATGCAACACAACCCAAAAACTGAATGAATATTCATTTTGGTTGGAAATATACAGTAAAATAAATTTCGTGGTGGTAAAATTGTGCATTTTAATAAGCCCTCGACCTTTTTTTTTTTAATTTTCAAAGTTTTTTTCTGATAATACTAAACAGTCATTACCAGCATACACTTTTGGATGTCTCACTAAAAATGTACCTGTCTTACAAATATAAGAGTATGGTGAGCAAACGTCTCAATATTTTATTATTTGATTCTCTTCGACCGTATAATGTGTATCAATATTTCCCGTACGGCCACCGTAAAAGGTATCTTGATGGTTAAAAGAATAGATTTTTACAATTGCATGATTTTGAATAAAGTCTAAATATTTGCCATTATTTTTTGTGAATTTGTTAAAATCGTGCCCCCGTATTTCAATCATTTTGTAGCCGTACTCTTTTTTTTAAAACTTGTTTCCGTAGTATTCTCGTGTCGTTCCGTAAAAGTTTTATTATTATTTAACTTTTGATATCGATCGTTGGGAAAACAACAAATACAACCATGAAAATGATATCCATGAAACTGAAACACGGTTTCTTTTAAATTTGTTGTTTCTATTGAAGGTTTTAAATTACCATAAATGAGAGGACCGTTTAATAAACGATATTCTCGCAATCTACCTACATGGATGGTTTCTACATTCCCTACTTTTCTGATTACTTTTAGAATTGTTGTTATTTTAAGAAATTACCCACTACTTGTATTTCTTATCTTCGCAATACCATAAGAACTACCCTTCTTAATCTCCCTCCTCTCTGCAGCGGTGCTTAAGTAATCACCACACGCTTCTACTGTCACTCTGTTTTGTGGCGAATTTCTGCCGATCCCTGCCTGCGGGCATTTTTTCTTGCATTGAAGTTGCTTGCTCTCTTACGCAACTACCTCCGTGAGTGTTGTCTCCGGTGGAAGTTGCATATTTCTGACTCACGGCATGGTTTTCTTTACTCTCAAATCCAGCCTACAAATTGGGACCGATCGTCTGCTGCTTGGCAGTGAGAGTCTGGTTGCTAAGGGCATCCAGTTGCCGGCTTTATTTTCTGGAATTGGCAGCCATGTGCACTGTCTGCTACAGGTACGTTGTCCACTACAACTGCATGACAGTTGATCTCTATTCCTACTGTCTCTCAGGTATATAACAAATAAAAAAAGGCTCGGGGAGAGCTCGTCTCGGGGAGACCTCATGAGCCAGAATTTATTGTGTGCGAGCTACAGCGGGGTGCAGCTGCACCAATTTTTACCAGAGATGTATATCGTCCCCCCCACGTACCGTTTCATGCCAATAACTTCGTTGAGGAACTTCGTGCCCACTGCCTAAATTACAACATGAAAATTATCATGAGTGACTTCAATGCAGATCCGCGTTCAAATCCTGAAGATGCGAAGTTCGTTAACAGGCTCGCAAATGAGTTGGCCCTCTGGTTGATTCCACATAGACCGACATATTTTACGGGGACTACTGCCAATATGCTTGACTTGCTTTTTTTTAGATGATAACGAGGACGTACTAGACGCACGTAACTTTTCTGCCTACTTTCTCAGTCGCCACCACATCATCGATGTTGCTTTGAGTAAGACTGTAGAGTCATGGGACTCCGGAGTATTCTATCATTGAAAAATCCGGAGCGTATCATCAGATGATCTGTGTGATGTGTTGGGTGGCTGTGATTGAGGTCCAGCAGACAAGACAGCGACAAATCCTGACCAGGCACTGCAGTTCATCGTCGTTAACCTAACGGAGAAAGTGGATAAATTAGCTCTGTTTAAACGTGTTGTTCCGCGCAAGAGAAGCGGGTTGGTGGCGAGCTCTTGCATATGTACCGCAAACGCGACGCGACCTATTGAGGTCCAGCAGACAAGACAGCGACAAATCCTGACCAGGCACTGCAGTTCATCGTCGTTAACCTAACGGAGAAAGTGGATAAATTAGCTCTGTTTAAACGTGTTGTTCCGCGCAAGAGAAGCGGGTTGGTGGCGAGCTCTTGCATATGTACCGCAAACGCGACGCGACCTACAGACGAAACAGACGCACCGGATATTCAAAGTTCCTCCAGGAGTTCTTAGTGCTTCGTGAGGCAGCTAATCGCTTAACACCTGAGTCGCGCGGTCAATATTATCAGGGCAGGATTGACGAGGTAGACAGCACAAGTAACATCTGGCGGGAGCTGCGTTGCTTGGGACTGCTGCCAGGAAAAAAGGAGGTCTTGGGTGGCCTCACGCCGAACAAAATTAATAGATGCTTTGCGGGGATCTCAATATCTGCCTATGAGGATCCATAGACCTGCAAGAACATCATAGCATCTGCCAGTTAGGTGGGCTTTACTTTTAAGCCTGTAAACATCGTAGATGTCATCTCGGCATTTTCACACTTCATCTCGCAGGCGTGTGGTGGAGACGGCATACCACACAGCATTCTGGTCAAAGCCCTACCCATAAAAGGGCCTCGTCTGGTTGGGCTGTTCAATTCCTCATTCATCAAAAGTGAGTTTCCGGCTCTCTAGAAGCAAGCTTGAGTGATGCCTCTCAAGAAGCGCGTGGCTCCCTCGTCCCCCTCAGACTTCCGACCCATCTCACTGCTCTACATGTTGTCGAAGGTGCTCGAGCGACTTACTCATGATCAGATCTCTGAGTACCTGGCCAATAAAGGACTTCTTTATCCCCTGCAGACGGGTTTCAGACGACATAACTCTACGCAGACTGCACTCTTGAAGCTGACAGATGACGTAAGACTGAATATTGACAAGAAACACATGACGCAACTGTTACAGTTTGACTTCAGTAGGGCATCTGACACTGTCTCACCCACTCATTTACTTGAGAGGTTGAGGCGGACAGAATTCTCCATGGGCAGCTGCACTCTCATGGGTCACTTCATATCTCTCTAATAGAGAGCAGTGCGTAAAATCTAGAGATAATGGTAGCTCTTCGTGGATCAGCACAAATCTTGGTGTCCTGCAGGGTTTCGTTCTGGGTCCATTGTTGTTCTGCCTTTACGTCAACAACATACAAGACAACGTATTTTCTCCAATTGGCGTCGAGTAGATCATGTATGCCGACGATCTGCAGGCTTACACCACGGTGCCCAGGGGGGCGCTGGGTGAGAGGGTGGGGAGGCGGGAGCGAGCAGCGCTGGCGGTCACGTGCTGGGTGAAGGGCATCTGCCTCCGGCTTAATGATAGGAAGACCCATGCTATCTTATTTGGCAGCAATCGTAACATCAATGAGCTTACAGCTCAAGGTCTTCCTAGTGTTGGTCTGGGTAGGGGGGTGACGGGCTCTCAGAGACCGTCACGAGCCTAGGTGTCATTCTTGACTTGAAGCTTACGTGGCAGCCGCATGTCACTGCCGTGACTAAAAAGGTTAACCGTGCGCTTTACACCCTCTGATTTTTTCGGCACTACACCACTGGAGCGTTGCGTGAGAGGCTCGCTTCTGCTTTGATTTTTTCTGTCCTTGTCCTTGACTATTGCGCAGTCGTGTGCCTTGATACCTCTCTGGAGCAGAGGAAGAGACTGCAGACACTACAGAACGCCTGCGTTAGATATGTTGTGGGTGTTAGGAGAGATGAGCTCATCACCCCACACAGGAGAGAGCTGAGCTGGCTCCAGGTGGACATGCGTAGAGACTACTACATGAGTTTGATTATTTACAAAATTTTGCATTTGCGCACCCTGGGCTACCTCGTGCCTCTCTTCAAAATTCACTCCCATCAAGGACCTGTGAGGGGTGAGACGGCGCGGGAGCTGAGCGTTCCATTTGCGAGGACTGAGTGGAGACAGAAATCATTCGATGTTGCTGGGGCCAGATTCTTGAACTCCCATCCCCTTGAGATTCGAAACCTGCCTACCCCGGCATAGTTCTAGCAAGCTGTAAAACAATATCTGGCAAGCTTGGACTGATCTCATCTAAACAATCTGATCGTAACGTTCCATATGCACACGCTTGCTAACGTATCTTGTATTCGTCTTTTTAAATTGGTGTATGCGTGTGAACGTGTGCATATGCGTTCATTTTATGTGTTATTTGTCAGTATTTATTTATAATTTATACGTTTTAAGTATTTTATAATTGATTGATAGATGAGTCTAGCGAGAAACCTTGTATTACAAACTTGTATCGTTAGTGCAGGATATCAGTATAATATATGTAATTGACCTTTCTTGACATGATGCGATATGCATAAGCATTTGACTGTGAAATAACGCCAAAAAATTAAACTGTATGTAAATGTAAGCTTGGTATTGTGACATTATCATTATAATTACTATGTATTAAATTTAACATTTCCAAGAAATGCTATTTTGTACCTGAGTGTAAATAAAGACATAATCTATCTATCTATCTATCTATCCTCTAAAAAAAATAAAAAAAAGAAAAATTGTTTTTACTGACCAGGCAGTATTGGTAATCAAATTCAAATCTCGCGCTCAATCCAGCTCTATTTTTTATACATTTTTAGGGTTACTGGTATTAATCTCCCGCCACTCCAGTCATGTGACGTCTGTCCAAAATAGAACCCCAAGGCTATGCCTCCGGCACCAGCCATATGATATATGTATATATGTCAGTCGTATGACATACATTTATAAAGGTTAAATAGTACCCTTACTACTCTTCCAAAAGCTTACAGTGGCATAGTAGTTACTTTTCACCTGGAGAGATTGGGTTTAATTTCCCACTTTATCCACTTGCCGTACTTTTGTGAGTTTTTTTCCATGTCCTTTTTTGCTGTGAGCTCCTAGTTTATTGGTGTAACTCCATGCTGATGTGAACTAGTAATGAAAAGCGGTTCCATTTAAAACCCTTAATTTATTAAATATGTAAATGTGGCAAATCATTAGTCATCAGGTACCCCAAAAAGCAAATAAATAACAACAAAATATCAACGACCCTGCTCTCTGCTTAATAGATTATAATTATGTCTTTACTATAGCATAGAGGAGGGTGAAAAAAGAAGAGCAAAATGTTGAGAGAACAAGGTCGTAGTGAACCAAGTTGGCTTAACTAACAACCAGCCGTTGCGTATCAATTGAGTTACGACTAGACATTTCTCCAAGACTATTAATAGGACGCTGCCAAATGATGTATAGCTGAGCAATCTTTTAAATAATTCTGCTTGTTCTGTTAACATTGCTATTCAATCCAAAAACTTCAAGTACTCAAGTACAAGTCCAAGTGCAGCAGCTTAGTCTAAAGCACACGTCTAAGGAAAACTTGAACAAGTTTGCACTATCGACGTTATCTGGAAAAGGACAAGAGAAGGAGATGATCACTTATAGGGATTCTAAGGAAAAAAGTACACTTAGTGAGAACATAAACTTTAAAGGTGTATGTGGGAAGGTAAATTAATGTCATTTTTTATGTGTTTCTTTGTTTGTGTACTGATGCAAAAGCACCCATGAGGCCATATAAATAGTTGAAAGAATTAGTAAGTTGCAAATAATACGCACAAATAACTATAAGTACTTACGCATACACAAAAATATGTATAGAATACAGGTAGAACATTATTATACAGACAAATTATATCGGAGTATAGCATGAGTAAATGGGTGGCGGTTTGCAGTTCACATTTTCACAGGCACCATGCAAATGTGATGTAATCCTTCTAGAGGGTAAAAAGTAAACACAATTGACACGTAAAAATTATAAGATTCTTCCTAATTAGTTGGTTCTATCGACTTCGTACGTTTGCTGCTCCCTCTTTAAAAAATTCATGTTTGACTCTCGTGCCTACACAACCAGAGAAAGCAACAAGTATCTCGGGAGCGACTTCATAGAATCCTCTAGACGTAGTGCTTAGTCTGATAAAAATGGTGGATCACTGTCGAATAATTAATTTTGTTAATACTGTAAGCATATTCTGATTGTACAATACAACTGTACTATGGTTCCAGAGGTGGATTGTGGGCTTTTCACTTTTGTGACAACTTTCATGTGTGTAGTTTTAGGGCATGTGAGTAAGTACTTGATGGTTTCTCTGCACTACTGCAGTGCCATATAAAACGATTATTATACCTTACTATAGAGTACCACTACCCTCATAATTTAAGAGCACTGCTCTCCTATTTAGCGCAGCTACAATCCTAAAAGTGTGGCAGGAGAATCCCTAGTACATTGGGTTACTAACCTCATCAACTTAGAGATGGTTAGAAAACATATTTTTTACGAGATAGTAACTGCTCAACCACCATAGCATATACATTGATAAAAGAGACTTCCTAAAAACAACTAAAATTAATTAACCGTAGTATATAAAAAGTGTACATTGGACGAATTTTATCTTTCTTTTTGAGATTTTTGATGTTACAGAGTGTTTTGCGGAAAAAGTAAATCTCTTAACCTTATAACTTTATTTATTATGTCAAATAAATATTTATTAATACAAATAAATGTACAATATCGAAATAACATCCGCACACACCTATAAAAATGTTTTTGTTTTAGAAATAAATATAGTTCTTTGTAGAAAATTTCGTCAAGTATATTTATTATGAATTAAAAATGCTTTAGACTTTCTTGTTTGCCTCATTGCGATAAAACAAGGAGATTTGAGTATTATCTTGTCAAAAAAAAAATAGGAGGAGTAGCAAGTTGGCACCAGTTTAATTTAACGACATCTATTAGGTTTCACTCAGCAAGTTCTAAACAATAACATCATTTATATTTTACACTTACATGTAGCTATTCTAAAGATAAACGCATTGAGAGTTGAATGTAACATCACGAGTTGAGCATACATAAATAGCATTAAAGTGCACACGATTTATAGGTTTTTCCTAGCTGTACCACCAGCATAAAAAATTATTGAAGTTTCTACATAAAAAATTTATTAACTGATTGTTGGATGTATTATTGAAAATATACAAATATGTATAGAAGATCAAGATAGTGATTTAGTTAATTTTCGTAGTGAAGTCACAACTATAGGATTGCATATAAAACCTTTTTTATAATGGCTACAACTTGCAATCAAACAAATCATAAAGGCAGCTTAATATGCTCTTTGTCTCTAAGTTAAGACTTTAGAGAAAACAGTCCATCGAGACATCTAAGAAAACAGCCAACCCGTCAAAAACGAGCCACTCAAAACATATCATTTTAAAAAAGTCTTGGTCTAAAAATAAGAAACCCTGGTGGCAGATAAGTTAAAAACTCTTTTTGTTGTATACAAGATGGATGAGATTCTAAGTATTCAGTCTCCAGTCACATTTGATTAATCTATTGTGCCCTATGAGATTCATGCTCATCAGCCGTATCTAGCAGCAACACATGGTAACACCAATAAAATTCATATTTGAATTTAGTATTAGGATTTGTGTCTTTAAAAGGCCAGAAGTTCTTAACATGTTTATGGAAGGTTAGTTAAAGCAGATGGTATTACAGCAATAACAAAACTGTATTAATAAGCAACGCCATCAGCCACTTATTTAAAGAAATAAGAAATGAGATAAATGACACAGAGGTAGACAAGTGTAAAAATGTTAGATTAATATCTCCTATAAACAATTAGTGATAACTTTGGCATGATAAAAAGTCTATGATAACTGGTTGGCTTAGTGTTGGAGAAGAAGATGATGATTTTGCTAATAATAATAGCTTCTTTGATATTATACTTTCACTACGTATGATTTTAGGTTTTGTTGAAGACTCTAGTAGGATAAATCTCCATGTAAAACATGAGCTTATATTTACATGAGCAAGAAACGATATAAATGCTATATTAAAAACTCTAGTTTATGCAAATGCTGCTGATCCCGGAACCATAGCTACTTAAAAAGACTTTAAAATAATAATATTGTAGCTGTAGTGGCTAATGATCTATGGAATAGCGTCAAATTCTGTTTCAGTGTCAATAAATTTTTCAACTTGGGAGTCATGAGTA